TTTTCGAATCCATTCAGCCGATCTCCGGTAGCACTTTTAGCTGTAGCTTGGCATAGATTATTGAATCTGATTAGACCGTTAGCATCTTGCTCAAAAATGACCAGAGTTTCTATATTTTTCCTATTTAAAACTTGACTGCAATGATATTACGCAGTGCCTGAAAATAGTCCCCAGCTTTGTAACTTACAACGGAAGGCGCGCTCCCTGTGCAAGCAGGTGGTCACGTTGGTTATGGTGGCGGAAGTTAGCCTATTTTCAGGCGCTGCGTAATATCATTGCGCCTGCTGCACCCATGGTATGACAGCAAAGTTCCTTGATTATTACGCCTTGATTAAAACTCTTTGGTCATTTTTGAGCGAGATGCTAACGGTCTAATCGGATTCAATGATCTATGCTAAGCTACAGCTAAAAGTGCTACCGCCAGACCCGGAGATCGGCTGAATGGATTAGAAAACGGTAAAACTCAACTGTTTAACTCTAGGGGAGTTGGAAAATGAGCCTGTTTTCAAAAATAGTGGAGTGTTCCTTTAACATCAAATGTTGATGTTGCCCTCTAAAAGATCAAATCATCATAAAAGCATCATAAAGTTATTTCCTCACATGATCACTATCATATGGCTCAAGAAGGCTACTTTTATTATAGAAAGGAATCCAAGGCACTTCTTCTGGTCCAAAAAGGTTAAAAAGCCTATAGTCCCATTATGGCAATCACAATAGAATTATTTAAAATGACTAAAACACTGCACACTGATGCATTTTGGTCTTCAGCCTTCCTCAGAGTGTGTGAAGGCTACTTTTATGATGATTTTGGTGATTCTGAATCCTTTTTGGTCACTATTTATTGTCAATGCATGCAAAATAGAAAAGACTGACCAGGACATTCAGGAAATTCTTCGTTCCACGTCAGAAAGTAAGTCATACAGGTTTGGAATAGCATGAGGGTGTGAAAGAATTTTCATTTATGGGTGAACTATCCTTTTAAGATGTGCATATAAGAGAAAACACACTTGCTTATTTATATTAACTGTCTCAATGTTCATTTTCAGATGTTAATAAAAGAGAAAGCAGAGGCCTTGCAGGAGGAGGTGGATGACCTGTTTATGCTGCCATCTGATCTCCCATCTTTGTAAATTTTTGTTTATTTTTATTTATATGATGTAAATAGTATGTATATTATTTAATCCACCTGGCATTATGTAAACTATATTGTGCCTACATGTCTGCCTGAAATAAAAATGGAAGTAACCTCTTTTTTTAGTAGCATCTCTGTTACTCATTTCCATGATCATCATGTGTTATTTTGTGTCATAAATACTTTATAACCAGTCAGCCACAAAAGGGAAACAAATTCCAGCGCTGCCTCTGATGTTGTGAGTTCCAGCCAATCAGTTAAGCTTTGCAAAAAAAGAAAGAAAAAAGAATCCTCCTGAAGCCACGCCTGCAGTCACTAGCGTGAGATATTTTAACAAGTTTGTCATGAACAGGTCTAACAAGAAAGAAGGAAGTAGCTTTGACGGTGCCAAAAAAACAACAACGGAAAAAGTAAATAAAAATAAATATTTCGCCAGTGTGTTTTGTATGAGCGCGTGAAACCGATGCCAGCAAAGCTTGAGTGAGGACGCCGGCGGATTGAACAGATGAAGTCTGCGGCCACAGCAGTTTCCACGATTGTAGCTCTTGCTTTGTTTGGCGCATTGTATGTCGGAGCCAAAACAGTAATATCTGTTGATGATGTTCAGTCCATACGTGTTGACCTGGCTCTGTCCCATGTGGCCCGACGGGTGGACGAAAGGTTTCTCTCTGTGGCTATAGATGCGAGTTTAATCGCCGAGGAGAGGTTCATGAACCTACTGAAGTAAGTAACTTCTCTTAAAGCAGACCTCAAATGAGTAAAGTTGTGATGTAATTTTAAAAGAAGTGATATGATGTTTCTGCAGTTCACCAAAGTTAAGAACCCTTGCCAAAGCCTTGGTCCCAGCGTTTCTGCGATTTGGAGGTACCAAACAAGATTTTATGACATTCAATCCACGCGGAAGATATTTTCAAGCGAGAGTCAACAGCAGCAGCGCTGTTCTAGGTAACCTCTGTCACTTAGCTTCACTACATGAGAAAGCTGACTGTGGTTTTTGTCATCTGACTTCTACAGCATGATTCCAGTTTTGCTTTAATGAGGGAACAATAAACTCATTCATAAACACACTGAACAAACAATGCACCTACATTGCCTGTTGTATGTAAAGATTGTAGTCGCCCCAAAATGTATTTGGACACTCAATACCTTCATACAGTGGGTACGGAAAGTATTCAGACCCCCTTAAATTTTTCACTCTTTGTTATATTGCAGCCATTTGCTAAAATCATTTAAGTTAATTTTTTTCCTCATTAATGTACACACAGCACCCCATATTGACAGAAAAACACAGAATTGTTGACATTTTTGCAAATTTATTAAAAAAGAAAAACTGAAAAATGCTCAGTATTTAGTAGGGTCTGAATACTTTCCGTACCCACTGTATTTCTGAGCAATTTTTGCAAAGACTTTTAACCACATGGGTTCAATGTGATTTTTTAGTGGAAGCTATAGTTCTCTCTCTCTCTCTCTCTCTCTCTCTCTCTCTCACACACACACACAGACACACACACACACACACACGCACTATATATATGTATGTATAGTGTTTTTTTATTTTTTTTAATTTTTGGATTTATTTAATCAGCCACATCTACTGTTATTCCTACAGAAAAATTATGTGAGAGACTTGAATTGCCTCCATTGTTGGAAAATAGGTTAAAGCAAGAATGGGTCCTACAGTCAAAGACTTTACTTCAGGAGGAACTAGAGGGAAAATACAAAAAGACAAAATTCTCTGGTAAGTTTCATTTCACTTCTTTTAAATTATTACCTAATGGGGAATTTATCGTGAGTTAGTACAGCTATTTCAATTTTATTTATATAGCACATTTAAAAACAACCATGGTGCTTAACAATATTAGAATACACAAACAAATAAACAAAACAAAACACAATAAAATGACACAGTGTCAAAGCTCAACTCAAAGTGAAAGCTAAGAAATACAGATGGGTCAGATGGGCGACTTAAAAATGTCAGTAGTCCGAGCTGTTCTTATGTGAACAGGTAGACTATTCCAGAGATTAGGAGCAGCCACTGAAAAAGCTGGATCACCTTTATTTTTTAACCTGGATCTCGGAACGTCGAGGAGCATCTGATTGGATGACCTCAGTGCTTTGACAGGAGTGTGGACATGTAAAAGCTCTGATAAATAAGGCGGCGCCAACCCATTTAAAATCTTAAAATCAATCCTGAAACGGACAGGAAGCCAGTGGAGCGAGGCTAAAACTAGGGTAATGTGCTCACGCTTTTGAGTCCCAGTTAGAAGACGAGCTGCTGCATTCTGGACTAACTGTAAGCGATGTAGAGATTACTGATCCAATCCAACGTATAAAGAGTTACAGTAGTCTAGTCGAGATGTAATAACAATAGCAATAGCAAAACAACATTCTTTCACAGCTATGTAAATTTGTGTCAGATCTTGACAATTATAAGTTCTTCTGGCCCACTTTTTAAGTGTCAGAAAATGTAAAGCTATGTTTTTTATAAAGTTTTATATATATATATATATATATATAT